TGAAGGTACATTCTCACACGCTCACAATCACACACCCACTCACATACAAACGTGAAGGTACATTCTCACACACAATCATACAAACGTGAAGGTACGTTCTCACACACTCACAATCACACACACCCTCACATACAGACGTGAAGGTACGTTCTCACACACAATCACACACACCCACTCAATCACACACAAACGTGAAGGTACGTTCTCACACACAGTCATGTTCACACACCCACTCACGCACAAACATGAAGGTACATTCTCACACACCCACTCACACCCACTCACACACAAACGAACATACTTTTTCACACACACAATTACACACCCACACACACAAATGTGAAGGTACATTCTCACACAGTCACCCAACGCCCACACACAAACATGAAAGTACATTCTCACACGTCCTCACACGTCCACTCACACACATTAGAAAGTATGTTCTCACAATCACACATCTCACATGGAAATGTGAATGTACATTTTCACATGCGCATTCACATCCACTCACACCCATACACACATACTCACACCCCCACTCACACCCACACACACCCCTCACACCCCTTCTCACAATCACACAGTCCTGACATTCACACACACTCTACACCCATCCACAGTGGCCCAGTGAGTGACCCCGCGAGAATCAGGGAGACTCTAAGGCAGGACAGAAGAAGGGAGAGAGAGGGACAGAGACAAAGAAGTGAGGACACAGGGACAGACGGGCCGGTGCTGTCGATGCTGTCAGAGAAAGACTGTGCTGAAGCTGAGGGACCCCGAGGCAGCCATGGAGAGGCCTGGGGGGCAGGCAGCCAGCCCAGCTGTGCAGGTCACGCGAGGGCAGAAGTGCTTAGGGCTGCTCAGCTGTCCAAGTTGACCGCAACTCCGGTTGATTTGTTCCATTGAGATCTGCCCACTACTTTAGTACCCGGGAATCTCCTCCTTCCTGACAAGGATCCCGACTAGGGGTTAGTGCTATGGCTAACCACCACAGGGACACAGGCTTGGGAGGCTGCGTAATTGGTCCAAGGTCCTGTGCGCTCATCAAGGCCATGCTCAAAGCTGAGCTCTCTGATTCCAAACAGCCAGCTTCCCCTACGTACCGCATGCCTCTCTTCCAGGTGACCGAATCCAAACTGCCGAGCCGCTGAGCCAGCAGGAGTGGATGAGGGGTCTGAGCCTGCACAGGATGCTTGAGTGTCACGTGCCACATCCCCCCTGCCCCGTTCTCTACTCCGGTTCCTGCTGCAGGCACACCCCAGCAGGACTTGCCAGGCATCTGCACTGAGGATCCCTCGTTTCCTGCCCAGGCGCTCACTGCTTAGCCTCCCTTGCACAAACCTGGAAGAACCAGCGAGAGAACACCCCGACTGGCGACTCTTAACCAACAGGAGGACGAACACCAGTGGAAAGCTCTGAGGTGGCTTCTGCAAGGCTCCTCAGAGGGTCCCAGCAGGATCAAGGCCCCTCAGCTCTGTCACAAACCCTCATATTTACCTTCTCTGTTTTTTTTTTGGTGGGGGGAGTCTTACTCTGTTGCCCAGGCTGAAGTGCAGTGGCACGATCTCGGCTCACTGCGATTTCTACTTCCCGGGTTCAAGCGATTCTCCTGCCTTAGCTTCCTGAGTAGCTGGGATTACAGGTGTGTGCCACCACGCCCGGCTTTTGTTTGTATTTTTAGTAGAGACGGGGTGTCGCCATGTTGGTTAGGCTGATCTCGAACTCCTGACCTCGTGATCTGCTCCCCTTAGCCTCCCAAAGTGCTGGGATTACAAGCGTGAGCCACCGCACCTGGCACCTTCTCTGTTTTGAGCTTCCCAGGCCCCTACTCTGTTTCCCTGGAATCACTTGCCCAGTTAAACCACCTGCATGCAGGCCTTGTCTCAGGCTCTGCTTTCAGGTCCCAAACAGGGCTCTCTTGGTGCCCAGCACCAGGGGAACTAATGATCTCTCTCCCACTTCTGTTTTCCCCCAGGACACAGAGTTCTGCTCTGATCTATTGTTTGCTGGATTCAGGAGCCACCCCATTCCCAGGAGGGGTCAAACCATTCTTGTTTATCCAATAACAATTCATTCGCAGCCATCATCTCTAGTCTTGAACCACACGAACAAAAAGGTGCCCTCAGCAAAGAGGTATCCCATCTAGGCAGATGCTGGGTGGAGATTGGGGGGTCAGGATGTCCTCCAAGCTTTATCCTAAGTCCATGATTCTGTCTTCCTTTTTAGGACAAGCCACAGGGGCAAGACACCCATGCAGCCATCTGAGGTCCTGAGTTGAGTGTGTTTGAACAATAGATTTCCTGTATTGTTTGATTATAAAAGTGAAGCATGCCAGTCATCCAGGTTACATCAATACAAAATGTAGAGCTTGGAAAGTGAACACACCTCCCCCATAATCCCATCCTTTTCACTCTGAGGGTGGTTATTTTCATCGTCCTGGGGGTCAGGACATTCTCGGCATCAGAAAATGAGGCCATTGGTCCCTTCAGGACCAATGCCTCTTTATAAAGTACCCTGGGTGCGGTGGCTCACGCCTGTAATTCTAGTACTTTGGGAGGCTGAGGCGGGCAGATCACAAGGTCAGGAGTTTGAGACCAGCCTGGCCAATATGGTGAAACCCCATCTCTAAAAAAATAGAAAGTAAGAAGGAAAGAAAAAGAAAAGGAAAGAAAGAAAGAGAGAAAGAACGGTTTCTTCTTAGGGAGACTTCCATTCATTCAATGACTATTTTTTGAGTAGTTACTAGGTGCCAGGTACTGGGGAAGCCACTGTGAGTGAGATGGATGAGGCCCTTCTAGCATTTTCCATCTTTGAGGCAGGCCCTCGAGGCTGAGGCAAGCAGATCGATTTAGGTTAGGAGTTCGAAAACAATCTCACCAACCTGGCGAAACCCCTGTCTCTACTAAAAACACAAAATTTAGCCAGGCATAGTGGTGGGTGCCTGTAATCCAAGCTGCTTGGGAGGCTGAGGCAGGAGAACTGCTTGAACCCAGGAGGTGGAGGTTGCAGTGAGCTAAGATTGCCACTGCACTCCAGCCTGGGTGACAGAGTGAGACTCTGTCTCATAAGTAAGTAAATATAATACCTCCCTTAAAAAATATTCCCCCCAAACCCAAAAACCTCCAGCAAATTAAAACAATAGGGCAGCCGAGTGTAGTGGCACTATAATCCCAGCACCTTGGGAGGGGAAGGTGGGCCGATCACTTGAGGTCAGGAGTTCAAGACCAGCCTAGCCAACACAGTGAAACCCCGTCTACTAAAAATACAAAAATTACCCCTTGGTAGTGTGTACCTGTAATCCCAGCTACTCAGGAGGCTGAGGCAGGAGAATCGCATGAACCCAGGTGGCAGAGGTTACGGTGAGTTGAGATCACAACACTGCACTCTAGCCTGGATGACAGAGTGAGACTTTGTCTCAAAAAAATAAAAAATAAAACAATGGGGCAAAGTTTGCTTTATTTAAATTACCATCCTCCTATATTTAATGTCAGGACCACTGCCTTTAGAATCAAAGCCCTGAAAAGTTTGGATTGGGCTGAAGTTGGCGCCTTTTCAGGAGTGTAAGGGAATGGTAGAAACAGGAGTGGCAGGATCGATTCTCTAATGGATGCATTCCCTGAGGGACTGAAGGTGCGGCCTGAGGTTCTGGAAGGGGCGCTCGCGGATAACTCTCAGGGGCATTGGATAGCCGAGTGTCTCTTCCCTCTGCTCATTCCTTCAGCTCTCCCCAGGGAAGATGACCCCTTAACGCTGCTGGCTGTCCTCAGCACCCACCTCCCCACATGTGCTTTTGTTCCAATACATCCTTCTCTCTCCTCTTCCTTTATTTAAATTCCCATAGCCTGTAGTTGATCTTAGCACGGTGTTCTGTCAAATGCAAGGAAAATAATTTATACTATGGTGTAAGAGGCTGATACGTTTAACCATTCAAAGGAGTATTTGCATCTTTAAGGGAGAGTTTGTGAACTCAAACACGTCTCAAACGGGTAGAATGTGCACCGGAAATCTCTTCCAAGCAGCGTCTCTTCCAGTTCCACGTGCATGATGCCCACTGGGCCACCGCCACCCGCCACCTGCGAGCAGGACAGGCCTTCACCGCGGGCCCCCTCTGCGGAATGCTCAGGCCTGGCGCTCCGGAGTCTGGGCTCCTGGGATGGGCGGGGATGCTTAGGCCCCAAGCGCTCCGCGGCGGAGCGGTCCCCAAGCCTGAGCCCCAGCCTCTCCAGGCCCGGAAGGAAGCCGCGGAGGAGGAGAAGGCGGCAGGGTGCCCCGAGCGCGCCTCACCTGCGGGCGAGCGCGTCCCGGGCTTCCACCCTCCGATACCCCGGGCCTGCCCGCGAGAAGGCGTGGATTCGCCCCATCCTTCCCGCCCAACGCCCACGCCCACGCTTCCACGCAGCAGTCGCTCCAGCCCGCCGCCCGTGCAGGATCGGGGGCCGCCTGGGCTCCTACAGCTCTCGCCCGCGTGGGTCTCTAGACAGCTGCCGGGCGCCTCCCCCGCCGCCCCACTCCGGGACGCGCCGCCGACAGGGCGGCTACTGGGGCGAGGGAGGGGCCGCCCCGCCCACCTCCCGCCTCCCGGGGCCTGGAGCGCGCGTGGCCCCTGAGCCGCCGGCGCCGCGCGGGGAATTGCTGTGCAGCACGCCGAGCCCAGACTCGGCTGGCTCGGCTCCGCGCAGGCGGGCGGGCGAGAGGATGCTGGCGGGCTTCCCCGGGCTCGGCCCGCGCTCCCGCCGGGGAGGGCCCCGCGCGCGCCCCTAGCTGCCGCCGCCGCCGCCGCCGCGGGTGCAGGGGAGGGGTCCGGAGAGCCGCGCTCGCTGCCGCCGGCGCCTGCTGGCCCCCGAGCCGCAGCCCCAGGGCTGGCGCGCTGGGCCGGCGCCCCTGGATCTCCCGGCCCCCGTCGCCGCCGCCTCCTTCCCCCTGCAGCCGGGCGCCCGCGGATGCTGAGGGGCAGCGCTGCGCCTCTCAGGGCCGGATCCCGGGCCTGACGGCGGGAGATCGTGCTCCGGCCGGGGCTCCAGGCGCTGGTGGGGCGGCGCGGCTCTGCGGGGAGCAGCCCTCGGGCGCGTTGAGCCCTCCCACCTCGGCCCGCGCGGGGACCGTCCCAGAGCACGCGGTGGCCGAGTTCCCGCACAGGTAAACGCAGGGGCCGGGCCGGGCTTCCGGGGAAGACTGCGCCCTGAGCTTGGGAAAGGGGTCCGATCGGAGCCGGAGTCTCCTATGGCTTGGTGGAAAAAGGAAGTAAACAGAAGGAAGGTTCAGGAATCCCCACGATGGTCCTGGTTTCTTTCCGGCACGTTTTGTTTCCAGCTTCTAAGGACTGGGCCTGGAGGGAATTTCGGTGAGGAAGTCAGGGACTGCGAGAGAAGAGATAACTGAGAGAAACAGGGTGCCGGGGATGGAGAGGCGGCTAGGCCCTTCCACAAGCCGGGGCAGGAAATTGAGTGTCTGGCGTGGACAGAACCCAGTGTGCGTGAGGTGGGCGGCGGTGTGAGCCGGGGGTGGCAGGGAAGGCCCAGGATTGGGAGACTCCTGCAGCAGAGATTCTTTTATGAGGGTTAGGGCGGGTCATGGGGAAACCGCAAAGTAGGAGGGAAGAGGTGCTTCTGCTCAGCAATGCCCTTTTCAGCTCTAGATGATCAGCGCTACCTGTGCCCTGGAAACCCACTCTGCGTTCCTGCTGGAGGTGGTTGTCCTCGGTCCAGCCAAGAAGAGGCCCTCAGACCCCCCTCCCCACTAGGTCTCAGAGAGCCCTGAGAGGTGGCCCCGGCGGGAACTCTTCCTCTGTTCCCAGTCCACTTCTCTAGGGCCAGCAGCAGACGCCAGCCAGAATGCCGAGGAACCAAGGCTTCTCCGAGCCCGAGTACTCGGCCGAGTACTCAGCCGAGTACTCCGTTAGCCTGCCCTCCGACCCTGACCGCGGGGTAGGCCGGACCCATGAGATCTCTGTCCGGAACTCGGGCTCCTGCCTGTGCCTGCCTCGCTTCATGCGGCTGACCTTTGTGCCGGAGTCCTTGGAGAACCTCTACCAGACCTACTTCAAAAGGCAACGCCACGAGACCCTGCTGGTGCTCGTGGTCTTCGCAGCCCTCTTTGACTGCTACGTGGTGGTCATGTGTGCTGTGGTCTTCTCCAGCGACAAGCTGGCTCCCCTCGCGGTGGCAGGAATTGGACTGGTGTTGGACATCGTCCTCTTTATGCTCTGCAAGAAGGGGCTGCTCCCAGACCGGGTCACCCGCAGGGTGGTGCCCTACCTGTTGTGGCTTCTCATAACCGCCCAGATCTTCTCCTACCTGGGCCTGAACTTTGCGGGTGCCCACGCGGCCAGTGACACGGTGGGCTGGCAGGTCTTCTTTGTCTTCTCCTTCTTCATCACGCTGCCCCTCAGCCTCAGCCCCATCGTGATCATCTCCGTGGTCTCCTGTGTGATGCACACGTTGGTACTGGGAGTCACTGTGGCGCAGCAGCAGCAGGAGGAGCTGAAGGGGATGCAGCTGCTGCGGGAGGTGAGTTCTGCCCACCATCCCCCCCGTGGGTCCTCTCTGGCAGCTCTCACCAACGTGGGACCTCTTGGAGTTGGTGTTTGCTTTGCCTTTGAGTCCAAGTATGTCCTGGGGGCTTCCGGGGCTCTCACCTCTCCCTCTAGTCACTGTCTTTGCCCCCAGGTGCCACTGCCCGGAATCTGCCTGTAGCTGGCCCGAGAGAAAGGAGGATATCAGGGCATTGGGCAGGGCCACTCTTCACCTGTGCCCAGCCCGAGTGTGGGCACAGGCTGTGTCCACCCAGGGCTGGTCTTGAGGCAGATTGTCCTGGCCACTCCCTGGCAGTGACCCTGGCGAGGAGGACCTCCCGTGGGAAGAGGGCTCCTCGATTCCCATCTCTCCGCTGACACTGACTAGCTGTGTGGACTCAGTGCCCCTTTGTCAAATGGAGATAACGTCTGCCCTGCCTGCATGACATGGTTGTTGTCAGGATCGCAGGAGATGTGGGGGATAGCACTTTAGGATACGTGAAGGGCTGCTTAGAGGGAAGACGCAGTTATATTTCCTTCTTCTGGGGAGCTTGGGGTGCCCGCGCAGTTCTGTGATGTGGAGAGAGGTGGTCTCCCCACTGAAGCTGTGGGGTAGGGATGCAAATGGGGATAGTCATTCTGGCCACTGCGACACAGGGTCTGCTGGTCCTGGAGCACGAGTTCTACTGGAAGGGGTGGAATTTCAGCCTCAGCTTAGCTATTCATAATAGTATTGTGTTCCCACCAAGTGTTGGGCCCTGACAGGCTGCAGAGACCAGGGGACCTGAGGGACAGTCGGCAATGTGTGTCCCTCGGGAGCCAGCAAGCCAGTGACCAGAGCGTGAGGCGGAGATGTCTGCATCTGGGTTTGGTGCCCAGCTTGCCAGCCTCGTGCTGATGATGGTCCGGAGCCTCCCCCACGTCCTGACCCTGCGGTGGTCCAGCTGGTAGAGACGGCAACCTTCCACGCCAGCTCTGTTCTGCGGTTAGTGGGGCTGGGGTAGAGTCAGCTCTGAAGCGGTGACCTGCTGGGTGTCAGGAGAGGCAGGGTGTGCCCAGGATCCTTGCTGATGGCCATGAGCCTCTAGCAGCTATGGAGGTCCGCCTGGGCCCTGGAGACCAGGTGCTGTGGGCAGGCCCAGGGTGGATGGACAGAACCTTCTGCTCCTGTGCTGATTTTTCCACTCATGCCTCAGCCTGCTGATTTGTTCTAGAAACGGTTAGAGGATGTTAACATAGGCAGGGGCCTGGCAGGGCTTCTAGTCCAGACACCCCATTTGACAGAGGAATTTCCTAACAGAGATGGGTGGTAACTGGTTCACTGTCACCCAGAACTTTGGTGGCAGAAACAGGATGGGACACCAGGTGTCGGCTCCCACCCCAGGCATCGGTTCCTACCCCAGGGCTCATTTGTGTGTGTTCCACGGAGCACCAAGAGCTCCCTGAGAGTAGGAGCTTTGCTTCCCATCCCACCTCCTAGGGATAGTGGCTGTGTGCTGCCTTGCCGTTCCCACCCCAAATTTCTGTAGAGGCACAGCTTGGAGGGGGCTGTGAGTTTCTGGTCATCAGCTGGGTGGAAACACCATTCATGTCAGGCCATGCATTAGCCAGTCCCAGGTTCTTTTTAAGCTTAAGATCCGAGGTTTGGGATGACTGGTCTCTTTAGCTCCATCTCCCCAGGTGGGCAGGGAGCTTATTTTGAGACTCCTGGAGCTTCCAGGGAAAAGGACTGTGAGAGTGTGGCTGCAGGGCTGGGCCCAGGCCTGGGCTCTCCACCATGTGGCTACTTGGAGATCACTTCCGAGCTCATGAGTGCTCTCCTTTGGGTACTATTAAAATACAAAACCCTAAAACTTAGAAAACAGAAACAAAAAAAAATAGAAATCAAGAATAAAAATATTAGCATCCCAGGGGAACCTTGGCATGGAAGCAGTGCCTGGGAGGCAGCTTTTGGAACAGAGCAGGAGGGGCAGAGGGCTCTCAAGGTCCAATGGGGAGCCTGGGATCGAAGGCAGGAGGCCCCAGCTTACAGTGGGCTGTGTTCCAGAAGCTTCTGAGTCACTAGTTTGGGACTAATGTGACTTTTTAAAAGGTGCCTGGGTTCCCAAGCCCACCCACCAGAGTTTGCCTCAACTCACAGCATCCCTGCATTTGGCCTCTGGAGACTGTGGGAACAGGGGTGGGCGTGGTGGCTCAGGCCTGTAATCCCAGCACTTTGGGAAATAGGCGGATCACATGAGGTTAGGAGTGACCAGCCTGGCCAACATGGTGAAACCTCTGCCTCGACTAAAACTACAAAAATTAGCCGGACATGATGGTGTGCATCTGTAATCCCAGCTACTCAGGAGGCTGAAGCAGGAGAATCACTTGAACCCAGGAGGCAGAGGTTGCAGTGAGCCAAGATTGCACCACTGCACTCCTGCCTGGGTGACAGAGCAAGACACTGTTTCAAAAAAACAAAAAACAAAACAAAAAAAAACCCACAGCGGCTTGCGTTGCTGTGGGGAGGGCCACCCGGGACAGCAATCTCCCCTGAGCCATGGAGTGAGGCGTCATTCACCTGCCCTGCTGCTGTTGCCTCCTGGGATGTGGGCCCCATCAAAGATGGGGGGGCAGGGGCTGCTGGAGGATGGGGTACAAGAACCAGGTAGCCAGGCCCCTCCTAGTCAGCGTAGGTCCTGGAACTTTCTCCAGACACCAAGCCCCGGGCACTGCCTTTCTTCTGCCCATGTGCTTCCCCTCATCTTCCTCTCTCCCATCCCATTGGCTCTGGCTGGGGACTCCCTCCAGGGCGGGTGGGGGATGAACGCAGTTTCCCAGTTTGAAGCAGACACCTGGATTTCTAAGGGCTTGTGAGTCTTGTGGTTTTGTTGCTGCTGTCACTGGCAGCATGAAGAAGCATTGCCAATGTGAAAAGCCCTCTTCCTCTGCAGCCCTTATCCCCCACGCCCATGCTCAGATCTGTGGAGGAGGACGGAAGGTACACCTGGGTCTGCTAGTGGCCTGAGAGGTTGGAGGCCAGGCGGACAGCCTGTCCTGGGCTCTTCTCAGGAGGCCAGCGGGTGGGGTCTGACAGGAAGAGCAGGTGATCAGAGAGTGTGGGATGGGATGGGGCTGGGGCTTCCCGATGAGTTAGGGAGTGAATATTGCCACGCCTCAAGGGCCTTGCTGCCTGCAGGGTCTGGGGATGGGGAGGGTGAGGCCATCTGACAGTCAGGCTGTGCTGGGTGGGGAGGATGTTCTGGGAGCCACCTCGGATGGGCAGGGACCTGGTCAATGGTTCTCACAACCCATCCCCTAGCTGGAGTACCATGGTGCGGCCTCGGCTTACTGCAACCTCCACCTCCCGGGTTCAAGCGATTCTCCTGCCTCAGCCTCCCAAGTAGATGGGATTACAGGCACCTGTCACCATGGCCAGCTAATTTTTTTTTGTATTTTTAGTAGAGATGGGGTTTCACCATGTTGGCCAGGCTGGTCTCAAACTCCTGACCTCAGGTAATCTGCCCACCTAGGCCACCCAAAGTGCTGGGATTACAGGTGTGAGCCACTGTCCCCTATTCTTGATGGGTCCTTCATCCTAGAAGGCTCCTAGAGGAGCAGGAAGGGAGGACAGATGGATCAGGAGGAGCCGAGGCTGGCAGGGTTTGCCCATGTCATTCCCCTGGCCTGGGTCCTTCCCTAGGACATGTTATGAAATAACTTGCCCTTTCCTGCCCTAAACTGCCCCTGGGCTAGGCGAGGAGGCAGGAGGGGTCTGGGCTCAGGACCAGGACCCACAGGACCAGCAGCCGATGGGTACAGATGATGGGGAAGGCAGCCAGGATGGTGGCTGGGGGGGGAGGGGTGTGCCTTTAGCATGTGGCACAGTAGGGACTAGGAACCGCTGACAAATATTTTGTACCCTTACTTCAGAGCAGAAAGGCTATTTGGGAGCAGAATTCTCTCATGGAATGAAGAACCCGTTAAGACCTTTATTCACCAAGTAAAACTCGAGGAAGCTGTGGCTGTGCAGTTCCGTTCACACCTACAAATTACACAGCAAGTCATTCACCCAGCGAAGGAACATTTGCTCCTCGGGGCTGGAGGGAGCTGCCATAGGGAGGATGAGAGGAAGCTGAGGCTTCCAGAGACAACCTGTCTGCAGACTGCACGTAGCTATTGCATGCACCTCACCCCAGTTAATCCTGGATGTTACTGGCTCCATTTCACAGATGAGAGGACTGAGGCTTAGTGAGGTTGAGAGGAGGTAATGGGGCTGGATTATAGGGGAGGGGTCACTAGTGAGTTAGAAGGTGGGATGGGGGGTTTCCCTGAAAGTGTCTCTTTCTCCAGAATCCAGGCATCTGGGCCTTCTGCTTTTCTGGCTGCCCCCAAATGTCTTTGCTAAGCAACATGGCTGAACAGTGCCAAGAGATGGGAACCCCTAAAGTATAGCACAAGGCACCCCCTTCTCTCCATGGGAATGGGATGCAAAGAGGGGGGAAGCCCATGCCGATGTTCCCTGTGGGCATGTGGCCGGGCTTACGTGAGAAAGGCGGGGGGGCTAAGTCGGGGCAGGAGCCGGCGTGGGGGGCTGGAGGCAGGAAGCAGCAGGCTTGGGGCTTTCAGTCTTCAGGAAGCAGGCTGCAGGGAGAGGCGTGCAGGACGCAGGGCGAGAGGAGGCAAACGCAAGCCAGTCCTGGCTCTTTGGCCCTGGGCATCACCGGCAGGACCAGGGACCGGAACAATGAGGACCTGCGTAGACGGGGACCACAGGGCCATCAGACCCAGCTGCATGTGAGGAAGAAGAATCAGTCATTGAACATGTAAACAGCTTTGCACCCCCTCCATGCTTTCCCTGCCTGGGCTTTCTGTGGCCTTTTCTGACCCTGATCTGTGTGTAAACAGAGCACCCGGGTTTGCGCACCATCATCATGCATATGCAATTTAGGCCCCACCTTTCACCCACATTATTTCCCTGACATTTTGCTCTGAACGTTGGACTCCTCGTGTTTA